GTTTCGGCTAAGTAGCCAGGAGGACTTCTTTTGTCGATGAGTCAACGGCACTCCCCAGCGCCCTGGACGGCACGAAATAAGTTGGGCTAAGCAAATATACAGCAATCACGCTCTGTCAAGACGTTTCTGACATTTCAGTACGACCTTAGTGAAGGAGTAGGAAGGAGGCTAGAATGGCAGAGTGTGAATTCTCTGAGGTACCCACAAGTCTGCAGAGCCCAGCTGGCCGGCCTCTTCGAACGCTTCGGAATGGTCACTATGTCTTCGGATTTAGTCCTAACGTCGGTATTAGAAGAGCTCCGCACCCAGTGGTTTTTGCAATTTTTCCCGGCTGCCATACACCCGCAAATGGCCATCGCTTCGTTGGCCGGAGAGAAGAGATAATGAAGGGCAAAGGACTCCTTTAAGTGTATGATCAAATGAGAATTTGTGGGGGTTGGTACTGTTTGAGGGAAGCTGTATGGGAGGCATAGGAGGGGATATACTACTGGTATAGATATCCTTGGCCTGTAGACAGAGGGGACCTGCATGTCCTACGTATCCATAGACTCAGATAGGACAATAAAATGATATAAAAATATAAATATAACACTTTTCACTAGAACTTTCCGAAGATACTATCCCCCCACCATGGTCGGCACCCCGTGAGAAAAAGCTAATCAAAATTGGGGCAGTATGTAGACTCTCGGTATCAAGTTCCTTCGAACAGTGCCAGGCTGCTCGACCCATTCTAGACTTATTCGTACAGTCTCTTATGGGGTGTAATAGTACAATTGTCAAAATGACTGTGGTTAGATCCCTGTACATATTACCTAAATTGGTATGGTCTTCATGCAGGCCCATGCGTAGCTCGTTGACTAGTTTTGCAAGCAGGGGTACTATCCAACGATACTCCGTGAAATTCAAAATTAATGGGGACGGATTTAACACCATAACAAATGTAAAATGGTCCTCAATTAAAATTGAAAATTAAAAAAATCAATTTTTGATTTGTATTCATTGTCCTGATTTGGCGCCCTGTGGGCCCATGCAGGTGGCTATAAACCTATCTATATATTTACATAGGAGGAAACCTCTCGGTAAAAACCTCCCCAGCTTTCTGATTTGTATCTTTGAAATTTATCCTTCAGGAAGCACAGTTACACTGTAGTGCCGTCTGTATGTACCAATCACGTCCCCTGTAACGGCCCCAACCTTGTGCCAGTCCTGCCTCGTTCCCTAATCAGCATTTCGACTGCATTTGTCATGCGGAATTGATCTATCCAACCATGACTAAGAATCCATTGCGTAATTCTTTTAATATCACCAGGATTGTCTATCATTGCTTCGTAGGACCGGTCTTTGGCTTGTCTCCAGATCTCTCCTCTTCCATTTGACCATCGAGAGCAGGACATGATCATGTGCTTGGGATTTTGTGATTGGTAGCCACACGGACAGCATGGATCGTAGACTCCTGGTACTTTTCTTCTATGCAAATACGAATTGAGCCCAATATGCTCGCTTCGAATTTGGATTGCTAAGCTACTTTGGGCCCTTGTCAGGTTTTTATGTAGAGTAAGAGGAGTTTTCTGGAAACTTATTCTTTGACGTCCAGTTTGTCGGCATTGATAGAATTTAGCTGCTTTCCAAGTTTCAGGATCTGCTGTAGCAAGTTTTTGGGGCTGTCGACTTCGCTTAGGGGTAGACCAAGATTTCGCCCATTCTAGGTATGCTGCAATATTTAGCGCCTCTTTCTGTAACTCTTTAGATTTCTCCTCTCCGCAAATCTCTTTCCAGTAGGCAAGGTCTGCCCTTCTATTATTTGCTCGAATATCTTCTCTCCCTCTTTTGGGCAGCTTGATCTTATTACATGCAGATTGAATAGCTTTTTGGACTGGTCGGGAATTAGAACGGCCTACATATTGTACCCTTTGATGCTTTAAGTAGATTTCTATTGGAAGTGTAGCTGTTTCGTGTTCCAGAACCCTGGTGCTGGTCGATTTATATGCCCCTGTGACTAGTTTTAAGCAATTTCTTTGAGAACTTCGAAGTGGTTTGACTATTCTTTCAGGTATTTTACCCCCTGGTAAAAAAATCAATTGATATTATCTAGAAATGCACATCTATTTCAATAATAATTGCTTTGTATCGTACAAGTACACATCGAAGCCCTCAGTATGGCTTGCAACTAAAATCAAACCGTTCTACATGCTTTGTATTAGTCTGCTCCATGTTAATACTTTGTGAACCCTCCATTTTCCATTATCACCGCTACACATCTTTCGTGCATGCTATCAACTAGTGACAATAGCTCCTCAGAAGGTACAGAGTCCCATACATCCTGTAGCAATGTCTTCAACGTGGCAGAGCGCACAAGCCTGAACCCATTTTTCTCAGGTCCATTTACCTGAATGGCGTTTTTTAAGATGTTGCACAGTGACTCGATCGGGTTCAGGTCCAGAGAGTAAGGTGGCCATCTAATAGGCGTTATTCCAACCTCACGCAGCGCCTTTATTGTTGAGTACGCTTCACGACATGGTGCAATGTCGTGCATGTATAGAATTTTTGGATTTTCCATATGAAATTGATTCAAAAGAGGCAAAATCCTTTCACCAAAGGATGAGGCCTTCATTGATCCCAAATCCTTCTCCTAGACTAGGAATGAGCCTTTCTATGATCCATAAAATAATCCCAAAAACATCCAACTGCTCCCATGAGCGTGACGAGCCACAATACAAGTCTCATCAAATTCATCATCAGGCTAAACTATGCTGTTAGAACAAGGAAGATTTTGATAGAATTTATACGTACTTTTCTTGTGACACGAGGTTTCATATGAAAATCACCCGATACCCAGGTTTCGTCAGTCCATAGTATGGGACTCTATTGTTCATCACTCCAATCTAAATGTGATTGGGCGAACTTCAATCTTTTCTGCTTGTTAACAGCACTCAACGGAGGCTTCTTCCGAGCAATGCATCTGCTGCAACCTCTTTTTTTGAGTGCATTAGAAGTTAAACGCTCACTGCGTCCCCAGTGGCCGAAGGGTCCCATAGCTAGTTCCAAATAGCACATCTGTCGATTTTCAGGAGATTCCCAGACGAAAGCCTAAAGCTCATCAATTTGTTCCGCGCTTAATTTTGGTAAGGGTCCTTTGCGAGGCATAGGATTCTCAGTCTCTCGAGCACTCGTAAGTTGCACTTGCCTTCTTGTGAAGCTAAGTTCGTCGGATACATGTTGTAATGTCAAACCAAGTCTTATATGTCTTCTTATTTCAATACATTGATCGCAAGTTAGATGCTTGCGATCAATATTTTCTGAAGCAGACTTTTCGAGGGACATTGTTTGCTAGAAAAGAGGATGAATTGATAGTGGTGTTAAGATCCAAGGACTGTGTAGGTTAGGCAGTCAAGATGTGACGGGAACCCCGAGTTGGTGATGATAATGTCGATTTAATTAACTGTATAAAGAAGAAAGAGAAATCTAGCTACAACTAACGGGTATTTATAATATTCAGCTCCTTAGTGATTGTCTTGACTGATTTCTTCACCCTAGGCCGAATACTTGCCACCCAGCCACATATTATCAAGAATCATTACGCTGTGACACTGATCTGGCCCCTTGGCTGGTAGTGCCGTAATATCCAGTTTCCTCTATCATTTCCTTACAGTCTTACAACATGAATCTTCAACAATACGCTTAGGTATTCACATAAGCTCAGACGTCGGTCAAACCGTAACACAAGAGTTTTTGTTTTTTTGTTTTGTACATTAACGTGCTAGGTTATATGACTACCGTTGCACTCCTATTGGAGCTTAAGCACGAGTGGGGCTGAGTCTGGTCAGGTTAACTACCGTGAAGTACAGATATGCCTCGTCCCACCTAAATGACCGAACCACCTCAGACTTCACCTATGTGTTGAATCATACCAAGCCTGAGCGTCCAGAAACCCGCTGTATATACACCGTGGCGCAAATTCTTCATTAGCCTCGACCACCCTACGCCCGAGCCCTTGACATCCTCGTCGACTTCGAAATATAAACGACGTCCAAGATCTCATCCTTGCTTTAGCCTTGCAACTTCATATCGTACCGTTAGGTTGTTGTCGTCATTCGGAATCTATATGATCCCCTCGATATATCTTCCCTTTTCTTTCTCTTTTGTACGTCCCATTTCCATCATTACTTTTCTCATTAGGGCGTGTGTAGGTAGGTGATGTGACAAGTGTGGAGTTAGGTCGAAGGTGTAGGATCGATTGAATAGTGCTTCGTTGCATATATATAAGGAATTTGAGATATGTCTATTATTCGAGTACCACATCGAGACAAACCTAGGTCCATTCGTGAATCGTATGTTCGTGGTGATGAGTTTTTGTTCGACTTTCTTGCAGCTGTAGAATCTCTGCCGACTCATTTTTCGAACAAAATACCGAGTACAACTCCTTCATATAGACTATACATCATACAAAATTAAACCCACCCTTCTTCCTAACTGAATCTCGGTTCTGGGATAATTTTTCACTCCCAGGTTCATAGAAGACACCACTGACAGGTGTTCAGCCTTCGTCCTCCTGATCCGGTCAGAGGTTCATGTTAGATGTGTAGATGTTTGAAGACTATGAGTTGTACCGCCGTTAAATGTGCAGAAGCTTCTCCTCTCAGTCGAAGTCTCAAGAAAAACTCGTGTTTACCGTTTGTCGAGGACAAATTTCAGCTCTGGTGAAATACATTGTCCCCGAATTTCAGAAGTGCACTGGTGTCAGGTGTTAGCATTCGTCTCCATGAAATCATTGTACCTTGGACCTGGATAACTATTGACCTCAGTCATAGTGGTATGTAACTCAGAATTTTTTTTCTTAGACCAGACACGTCCAGTTTGATCTAAGCTTCAGCTCTAGGAGGCAAGTTTGTATCACGTGATCAACAAAAATAAGTGGCCTGCAACGAATCCACTTAGAGTCGCCGCCGCATAAGCTGTCTGTTAATCCAAATACCGTCCCTGTGAACGGGCATAATACCAAAATGGAGATCATCAAGCCAAAAACAGATGAAGAGAAACAAGCGGCCGCTAAGGCGGAATATGAAAAGCTACTTACGATGCGATCTGGCGGAACATACATCCCTCCGGCGCGACTACGAGCCCTTCAATCCCAGATTACGGACAAGTCAAGCAAAGAGTACCAGCGTATGGCATGGGAGGCCTTAAAAAAATCAATCAACGGGCTGATTAACAAAGTCAACATATCGAATATTAAGCACATTGTTCCCGAACTTTTTGGTGAAAATTTGATAAGAGGTCGAGGACTTTTTTGTCGAAGTATTATGAAGGCACAAGCGGCTAGTCTACCTTTTACGCCAATATACGCTACAATGGCTGCAATAGTTAATACAAAACTACCAAACGTTGGAGAACTTCTGCTAAAGCGTCTAATAACACAGTTTAAGAAAGGGTTCAAGAGAAATGACAAAGCAGTCTGTTTATCTGCTACTACTTTCATCGCTCATTTGTGTAATCATCAAGTCGCTAACGAAGTTGTCGCTGCTCAAATCCTACTATTACTCCTTCATCGGCCGACTGATGATAGCGTTGAAATTGCTGTGGGATTAACAAGAGAGGTTGGGCAGCATCTAGAAGAGATGAACCAGGTCATAGCTCTTGCAGTCTTCGATCAATTCCGGAATATTTTACACGAGGCAGATATAGATAAACGGATCCAATATATGATCGAGGTTCTTTTCCAGGTTAGAAAAGACAAGTATAAAGATAACCCTGCCATCAAAGAGGAATTAGATCTTGTTGAAGAAGAGGATCAAATCACACATGTTATTTCATTGGATGATGAAATTGACGTGTCTGAAGGACTGAACGTGTTTAAATATGATCCTGACTGGGAAGCAAACGAGGATAAATATAATCAAACTAAAGCCGAGATATTCGGAGAAGCCAATGATAGTGAGGAAGATGAAGACTGTGAAGATGGGGATGAAAGTGATGACGAGGACGGAGAACAGGAAGACAAGGCGATTGAAATCAAGGATCGAAGCAATGCAGACCTCGTCGCCCTCCGAAAAACTATTTACCTAACAATAATGTCAAGTGTTGATCCCGAAGAATGCTGTCATAAACTAAGGAAAGTGCAGCTTCCCGGTGGACTAGAGCATGAGCTTCCTTCTATGATCATTGAATGTTGCTCCCAAGAGAAAACTTATTCCAAATTTTTTGGTCTGATCGGTGAACAGTTGTCAAGGATAAACCGACTCTGGACTCAACTTTTCGAAGAATCATTCAACAAATACTACGATACTATTCATCGGTATGAAACTAACAGACTGCGCAATATCGCTCGTTTTTTTGGCCATTTATTGAGTTCAGATGCTATAGGGTGGCATGTATTTTCCATCGTTCATTTGAATGAAGAAGAAACAACAGCTAGCAGTCGTATCTTCATCAAAATTCTCTTCGAGGATTTAGTTGAAGCCATGGGCATGATAAAACTGCAAGCTCGCCTAAAAGATGATGGGCTCCGAACATATTTTGAGGGTCTCTTCCCCAAAGATAATCCTCGCAACACACGATTTTCGATTAATTACTTCACATCAATAAAAATGGGACCTCTGACAGAGGAACTGCGTGAATATTTGTCAAGCCTACCTAAACAGACACTACCCGCTCCAGTTATTGGAGGCGACAGGTCGGGCTCTATTTCAAGCTCGGCGTCCAGCTATTCTTCTTGTACTAGAACTTCTTACTCGGGGTCTCGATCACCTTCACCAAAGAGGTCACTTCGTAGAAATATCTCACCAACACCCGAAAAACACCCCGAGCGTAGTGATAATTCTTCGGTGGGTGCTATATCTCGGGGACGTGGGAGTCACAATAAGATGAAGTCATCTGTTTCAAAGCGCGGTAATGCTAGCTTATCTAGATCACCGTACCGGGGTCGCCGGAGTGTGAGTCGATCTAGATCGCCCTACCGAAGTCGCACAAGTCTTAATCAAACCAAAAAACCGTCTCGGAAGCGGGAAAGTTTCAGTTCCTCCCGATCACCACACCGGGGCCGTCAAAGCATAAGTCGGTCTAGATCTCCGTACCGGAGACGCTCAAGTCTAAGCCCATCTAGAACGCCGCCTCTAAGGCATGAAAAAAGCAGTCCCTCTAGATCACCACGTCGAGGTCGTCAAGGCATAAGTCGGTCTAGATCTCCGTACCGGAGACGCTCAAGTCTAAGCCCATCTAGAACGCCGCCTCTAAGGCGTGAAAAAAGCAGTCCCTCCAGATCACCACGTCGAGGTCGTCGAAGCATAAGCCGGTCAAGGTCACCCTATCGAAAACGACCAAGTTATAGCCTCTCAAGATCGCCGCATCGTAGACGAGGAAAGAGCAGCCCATCTCAATCACCACACCGAGGACGAAGTACAAGACGATCAAAATCACCGGCACAGAGACGTCCAAGTTATAGTATTTCTAGATCACCGCCTCGAAGACGCGAGAACAGTAGCTCATCTCGATCACCACATCGAGGACGTCGAAGCGTGAGACGATCAAGATCACTATATCGTAGTAGCCGAAGCCGAAGCATGTCTAGGTCAACATCCCGAAAACGACAATCCACAAAAATACAATCACTTGCTAAAACTACTGGTAGAAAAAATCGGCATTCGTTGACGCCGACAAAAAACAGCCGCCCAAACTCTACCTACTCTACGTCACGCTCACCTTCAAGGCGACGGAAACCTCGAACCGAAACAAGACCTAGATCGCCCATCAATAAGAGGCACAGGAATTATAGTGACTCGAGATCACCACCCCCAAAAAGGGGGAGACGTCGCTGAAAATTTTCATCAAGAGAAGGCCTATAAAGTGAGTCAAAATTTATACCTTCAATCAACTTAGAAATGAGGAAAAAGTTTCATAGAAAATGGTCTTCATCACTTAGGATCTAGCCACCTGTGAAATTTGAGGCCACCTTTTTCGTGTAAAAGAAGGTCTTAAAAGATATCTATACGTTGCTTTAAATGTAACTCTAGTCACGGTGTTGGCTTGTAAGAATTTAAGAGAGTTACAATCTTAGCCGAAAAATGTTAGATCAGAAGAACTAAAAATCAAGTTGGTGCTGAGGGAAAACGGTCTGAACAGCTCGCGTAGGAGATCATTTGACGGTATGTATTATTAGCACATTGGAAGTCCAAATATCAAAACTTTATTTACTCCATATATTGAAATGTGATTATTCTATGAAGATACAGGCTAGCACGTTAAAAGATTTTCTCACTCGATATCTAGGCAATCAGCCTCATCTGGCGACCTTGGCTTTTGGTGTCGTTTTTGTGTAATTTATAACTCCAGGCTTGGTGGAAATGCTTCGAGTACCCAACAGCTGAGACAGTTAGTAACATGAGTTAAAATTATCTTCTGGGCCGATTATCGGAGATTTTTAACTCATTTCAAGCAGATTCAATTAGGGATATTATCCTAACTTCTATAATATTTTTACTTGGCATATCTTGCTGTTAGAATATACAAGACTCCTACAAATATGACCAAGAATCTAATGGGAGGCAGTAAAAATGTTCTAGATAAAAGACAAGAAGCTTACGAAAATATTGGAGTCCATGAGACATTGTAATTCTTCATAGTGAGGACTGAAAGAAGCACGAGATAACACGTGTTATTACCGTACTCATTCCTCAAACAGCCTTTCATAAGTCGAATATAAATTGTTATCATCTATGGAAATGTAAAATGCTTAATATGCCTGATTTTGAACATATCTTAAGAAATATACGTGGGACACGCTATCACATCGTAAATTTTGACTGGAGAGCCCTACTTATTGAATTAAAGTTTGAAATCTTTTACGTGACAGGAAGAACCTGACATCTATTTAGATGTGACACGGGTAGATGGGCCCTAAAAGCTCATTGCTACCTACATGACCGGCAATAAAGCCAGAAGCAACAAAAGAAAAGGAGATAAATGGTACAGTAAATGTCCGAGTTACAGTGCCCTGCGCCGAGTCCTTATCTTTCAAACATATCTCTTCACGAGTTGAAAACAGTTTCAGTATGACAACCTCCCACCCCGTTCAATTTTCGACTGACTGTAGCATCTGATTGTAATTAGGAACTGAATGAACTTCTACCATCCCTTCTAGCATCCCTTCTCCCCTATCATTTCCCTGGCCTTAGGTGGGGGCATTTTCTCACACCTTCTCCAACGTTGCAAAGCGGGTCGGCACTCTTAAAACTGCCAGGGCCTTTTCTCTCGGCCGCAAACGCATTTCAAACCTTCATGTTCGGGATCGAAACGTCGATGATAGTCGGCGTAGTCCCCGTGGCCTGTTCTTGCCGCAATAAGACGGTGGTGCGTCCATCTTGGTAAAGCTAGTTCCGTTGGTCTTTTGCAACGCATGAATAGGTCCAGATCTTTGTATCGTTTCGGTCGATACTTCTGCCACCACTCTTCCTCGAGCTCTTGGCTGCGCTGTTTAAACAAACTCCCTAATGCCGCAAAGGTCAGATTTTTATCTTCCCTACTTGGCGTAGCCGAGATTGGTGACCGGTTATTCGGAGCTCCCAAGGCTGATTTGGCCAGCTTACCGGCCTCTTCATTGCCTTGAATCCCCACATGCCCGGGTATCCAGCGTATTTCCACACGCTTATTGTGTCTCAGCGATGAAAACTTGTCCACCACTGACTGCGAGGAGTTAGATCTTCCTCTTTCGAGCGCCTGAGTGGCCGCTTGATTGTCCAGAAGTATATAAATCGGTAAGCCTTCTGCAACCACTACTGCAGCCTCCAAGGCTTTCATGGAGCCTACAACTTCCGAGCCGAATAGCTCTACTCTAGGAAGTGGACTAGAGCCACTTCCAGCTAGCTTGCCTCCTTGGTATACTACATATCCCCAAGTTGATTTTCCGGGACCCGATGACGACCCATCAGAGAAGGCCACGACTGTATTGGCTAGTAGGAAAGTTAACCATTGTTTGATGCTTCCTGACCTAGATTCTTTTTCTCGACTGCATGGAGTCGATGCCGGGGGACAATGGGGAAGTATAGTTTTCCAGGGCCTTCGGCTGTCAGAACTCGACGCACACTTATTTGTAGGCGTGTCATGTACCGTTCTGATTGTCTGAACAAACGATTTCTTTGTCCCGATCTAAGACCTAGGCGTCTTATTGTCTCTTTCGGGTCCTCAGCCGCCCGAAGGGCTAGAGGGTGCCAGTTATCTATTCTTCGCACACGAGCTGCGGACCGCAGCATCTTTAGCTGAAGAATTATCGATGCCGGGGATATTCTCGCTTCACGATAAAGAGTGCTATTGGGAGTGGTATGCCACGCTAGGAGTGCTACTCTAATAGCTTTCATTACCGTTTTATCTAGTAGAGAAAAATGCCAGCCTACTCCAGTGCCGACTTCTTTATCTCGCAGTGTGGTTATTCGAGTAAGACCCGGCCACCACGCTTCTGCCCCATATAGAGCCCTACTCAGAACGCATGCCTGTACTGCACGAATTAGAGGTCCGGGACCTGCACCGCGTTGAACACTGTTCAAATGTCGTAAGAAGTGGACTAGACAGTTAGCTTTTCTAGTCCAATCCTGTACATGTTGCTTGAAGTTCAGCTGGGTATCAAGCTAGACTCTTAGCCACCGGATATGTGGTGATGGATCGATTCGACGATCTCTCACCATGCTGGAAGGGCCAACCGTGTTGATTTTCCTTCAAGGTCCCCTTCCGGTCACTAGAAGTTCGGACTTCGCTGGGTCAAACTCGATCCTATGTTCTCTGGCGAGAAGGATGAGGCTGTTGAAGTTGTCTTGTACTGCGGAGATGGCTTCAGTCGCGGTTTTTCCAACTCTGATGACAGCCACATCATCAGCATAGCCAAACCTGCTCGTAAGACTATGGTCCTGAAATAGCACTGCAACATATAGCATAAAGAGTAATGGCGATAGTGGCAAGCCCTGAGGTACTCCACATTCCAGTATCTTTTCCTCGGTAGTTCCGCCGCGGTATATTAACTTCAACTTTCGTTGACAAAGAAAAGTGTTCTGAATATCGTGAGCATGACTTGTAAATGACTATTTACAACAGATACAAGGTCTATAATAGATATCTTGGCAGGGGCGTCAAACCACCACGCATGACGAGTTTGAGGCAGAGTCATATATGCTTGGGTGAAGCATCCGGTTCAGGAAGTCGCAGCCAAGGAGTATCATATATACATAGCATTGTGTCATAGTTGTGAACCTAGGGTCTAGTGATACGTAGGCAACGGGAGATTTTAATGAGTCAATGAGTCTCAGTTTACGATCAAGTAGTACTGGCGTAGTCATGTGGGATAAAGGCTAGCACAAGAGACTTGTATATGATATAGCGATATCTTTATGTTCAGATAGAAGTAACAACAATAATAAGCTAGCAATCAATCGAATATTATCGGGATTCATTATTCATATCATTCTAGTATCATCAATTACAAGATAATATTCCAATAAAAAGTCTGAATAAACTGGCACAGGGATAGTAGCAAGCCTTGTTCTCAAAGGCGTTTGAGCAGTTGGTTGTGAAGGACTGCATCAAATATACCTTGGATGTCAGGTGTTACCACAGCCGCACACTTACCACTTCTCATGGCCGCCTCAGCATCATGGATTATACAGGATGCAAGGTCGACTGCATATCGTCCTGGTAAGGAACCGAATAATTTTGGGTGAACAACTTGGTGACTTATCGTCAGCCATGCCATTCTCTTACCAACTAGACACTCAAGCCCTTTGTCTAAACTTGACAGCAGCGAGGTTGGTCGCCAACCCTTATCAGTTGACAGATTTCCACCCGGCTTTGGAAGAAGCACAACTTCTGCCACCCTGAAAGCCGTGGGAAAGTGGCCGATATTTAGATAGGTCTGGTAGAGATCCTTGACCAGAGGTCCTAGATGGTACCATCTGGCTTTAAGTAGACGTAGCGTTATTTTGTCAGCGCCTGGTGCCGTATCGTTGACAGAGACGGTAGCGCTAGTCACATCATCAGGTGATATTTTTGTATCCCATGGGGTGCGCTCCTACTGTCCATTATCCCAGGTTGAAATATCGTTCTCGCCGCTGAATATTGCCAAGTGTTACGGTTTGACCGTTGTTTGAGCTTAGGTGAATACCTAAGCGTATTGTTGGGAATATTTACAACAAGGCTACATGGGGAGGATAGATGAAGCTGAACAAGGCGGCACTACTAGTCAGGAGGTCGAAGCGTTACTTCAACTAAGTAACACCTGGCAATGCGTGGCTGGGTAGCAAGTATTGTGCCTAAGGATAAGTCATCAGTCTAGAGATTGACGAAGGGGGCCAATTCTTATAAATACCTGTTAGTCGTAGCTAGAGTTCTCTTTTCTCCTCATATAGTTTAATAAATCGATTTATTCATCACCAAATCGGTTTCTATCACGCCAAGAGAATATCTCGTAGCGCACTAGCTTGCTCTCACGGGTTAGATAGCCACCGGATTTGGTCAATCTGCAAGGTAGGGGGTCAGCTGCTGATCGAGGCTTATCCCATCGCATGAGCTTGTAGACCTGGGCATCAGTTTTAACTGCTTCCACTTGTCTCTTCCAGTACTCTCGCTCGGCTTTTTGCATTAAGGCTCTGAAGCTTTTCCGTGCCTAAGACTAAAGTTTGGGGTTGTCTCTTACTGCATTGTAATCCAGCCGTTGAGTGCGACATCTATCGCACCACCAGGAATTGCTTTCCAGCTTTGGATAGCTAAGACTTTACCTGCGATATACAGCGTGTCTCCAAGTGCTTGGAGGAGGTCATTGGTAAAATTTTCGATATTC